CCCAGGCGCCCCTCCCATATTTATCTTTTCCATGAACCCTAAAATGCACCTAATTGCAGCATCAGGTTGAGGTCACACACTTGCTTTCTGATGAATATCTGCAGTGGGAAATGGAATCATTATTTCTGGAGACGTCTAAAAGGAGCCAGGAGCCTCCTGTTGTCTGGGTGAGGCCTGTTGTGCCTGAGGCTGGGCTATGGGCCAGATGACCCTGTAAGATTCTTTCCAGGCTCAGAATTCTGTGGAGTCCAGGCTGTGGATGTGGGGACTGTTTCTTTAAACAAAATGCAGAGAACTCTGCCCCCTTCCCTCCTGCATTCGAAATGCCTCCAGAATCTCTCCCCACAGTCCTTCCAGCCCCAGCCTCGCTCCTGCACCCCAACAACCACTGCCTCTCTTCCATCTCCCTCCCGAACATCTGCTTTCTCTGTCCAGCTGGCTAGGGGAGGGCCTGACACGTCGTCAGCCCACAGTGGATCTGAGCGAGCATGGTGACATAACAGCAGTAGCCCCAGCACTGGGAGCCCCCTGGCCTGAGTCTTCCTGTGCTTCCCTCCACAGAGCAACCCATCCAGTACGCTCACTCGTCCTGCGAGGCCGGTGTGGCCGAGCTCCACATCCAGGACGCCCTGCCGGAAGATGATGGCACTTACACCTGTCTGGCCAAGAACACCGTGGGGCAGGCGTCCTGCAGCGCCCGGGTCACTGTCCATGGTAGGAGCCTCTGGGCACCTCTCTAGAAGCACCTTTGCTGCAGACATCTGCTTGGGAGAAAGAGCACACTGCACCTGAAGGCAGGCAGGTGGAGGAAATGGCCTCTGGAGGTCCACAGTGACAAGGCAAAGGCCCGTTCCCCACCCCCTCACCCCAGCAGGGCTGAGGGAAGATGCAGGAGAAAGAGGCAAGGGCTCCCTCGGCTCAAGAAGCTTCCAGTGTGGTAGGAAGAAGTCCTCGCACATTGAAAGATGTCCCAGGAGGAGTACTCACGTACCCCCTTAGGACTTAGGGGTCTCACAAATGCCACCTCCCATGCTGGGGGCCACTGGGTAACAGAGTGCTGGTACTGAGGCTTCGAGAGGGTCCCAGGTTGTTCCCCTTTTCCTTCTGACCCTGCTCCTCCCCACCAGCCTAGGCTGGTTTTCATACATCAGCAGCCTGGTGTCCAGTAATCTGATTATCATGCTCATCCATTGATCCTCGCCGAGCCCTTAGTCCCAGGAAGTTCCAGGGGAGTCACGGCACTCGAGACAGAGCTGTCTGGGCTGTGGGGTCGGCGGGCATGGTGACAGTGCCCAGGGAATGCTCCCTGGGGCCAGGGTGTCCAGGTAAGCCTGCCTCCCCATCCTCCCCGCCAGGCTTGGGCCCCCGCTCCTGTGTGTGGCTGGGGCCTGGGGGCTCTGCTTTCCCAGCATGCTGGCAGGAGACCATGTCTCTTCCCTCTGTCCCCCAGGGTTCAGGTCTCCTGGGGAGAGTCTCCCAATAATGTGAGCAGCTGCCTTCTGGGCAGCCACAGGACCTGGTTTCACTGAAAAGCACAAGGGGAAAATCATGTGCTGGGTACAGCACTAAATACTTTCTCATTTAGACCTCAACAGCCGTGGGGAGGGCTGTGCGCTCCCTGCTTGCCCTTATTTTAGACGAAAGGGTCTGGAGGTCTCAGAAAGCTTACGCGACTTGCCTAAACACACAAGCTGGTAAGTCAGACTGGGCTTTCAGACCCAGATCCTCATGACTCCAAGCCTGTGCTCATTCCTATGCCCTGCCCTGTTCCAGAGTGTGAATCCACCGGCCCAGAGGGGGAGCCTGAGCCCTGGAGGCTGGGCAGTGTCACCCCTTGTGCTGACGCTGGCTCTGTGACGCTCTCTGCCAACAAGGGGCACACTCCCGGGCCTCCCCCGTTTCTCTGAAGTGCTCTGGCATGGAGTCCTCACCTGCCTCCTCTTCCTTCCAGGAAGCTGTTCACACCCAGGTGGGAGCCTGACTCTGGCCCCCTGGGAATCTGTCAGCCAGAATTGTGGCTGACGTAGCTATCCTCTTTGTCCCCACAGATCTCCTTTCATGGCTCAATAAGGGGCCTCAGGAAATTGTGATAATGAAACAAGAAGAGATCTGAGCTTCATCTTTTTGGGCCAGGGGAGCGGCCCTCACTTTCCCAACAGGGGGCTCTCCTTGGAGGTCCACGTGGCCTACTCCAAAGCCTAGTAGCGGGCAAGAGGGCCAGAGTGACATGTGATGGGTCTGTTGCCCAAGACTCTCTCCCTGCTAGCTTCAGCCAGTGGCCCTGCTAATCCAGTGCCTGTCCCCACTTGCCTGGGTTTAGATTGGATTAAAGAGACCCAGCTGAGCTAATAGTCCCTCGGTGGGGGGGGGGTCCCTAGATGAAGGATCAAGGAGTCTTTGGGGGCGTCCTCCTTGTCCCCAGGTCTGTGGGAGTAGTAGGGCCTGGGTGACTGCCCATCCAAGCGTGTTTTAAAGCCGAAACAGGTCCCCAGCAAGAACTCTGCCAGAACCTTTTGGGTTTTCTCTGAGAACAGCCCTGCGTGAGTGAGAACTCCCTCCCGGTGTGGGGATTTGCTGGCCTGTGAAGGCCAAACAGAGGCTCAGATACCATAAATGGTGAAGCAGGCTGAGAGACGTGGCCGCATGTGCGGGCCGCAGGGCTGGGCTGTCTGCACAGGAGCGAGGTGGGCTGAGCCTGGCACAGTGACGCCCCCTGGCTCCCTGCCCCAAGGCGCTCGGGCAGCTCAAGGCCGTGTCCTGCACCATCCTCAGCCGTGGAGGTTTTCTTACTTCATTGGCAGCTCCTGGGGCTCCAGGTCTCTGGGGGCGGCTGAGGGGTCGGGGCGACCGCAGGAGAGACGTTTGTTCCTACTGTACCCAGCATGGTTCCGGCCCCTCCATCGCTGCCCAAGGCCTGGCCTTTCCGTTAACCCTCAGTGTGGCACCAGCCCCAGTCCCGTCCTGGCCGTGGAGCAGACTGGCCGGGAGTGCATCCTGCTGCACCACCAGCTCGCTTGGCCACAGGGGTGCCATTCCCCCCCCGGGCCTCGCCTTCCTCTTCTGTGCAATGGGGACACTGACAGTCACAGTCCCCAGTACTGAGGATTAAGTCAATAAATACACGTCATGTCCTCAGAACCGAAGAAGGGCTCAGTGTGTGCGGTTGTGATGATTGTCCAACGGACCCCCCCCCCAAATTTTACACAAGGTAAAATCGTTCAAAATGCCAAGTCTAAGTGGTTTTACCAAAGGACCAGCTTTGCCACAGTGGGTGGGAGGTTGTCTGTCCATCTGTGTGCCTGTTCGTTTGCTTTTAGTAAGGGCGAGAATCCCAGAATCCTAGAGGGAGGGAGGCACCCCGCAGACACTAGAGTCTGAGGAGGACCCCATTGTAGGGGCTGTGGCCACGAGAGGGCGCCCTTGAGCAGGGCACCCCGGCTGTCCGCTTTCCCGGGAGGGGGCCGTTTCCAGGGCAGCCATGCTGCAGGCACACTCAGTGGAGAATCCCGGCGATGCTCCGCAGAACGCCAGGTGTGGGTGCTCTTTCTCACCTCGTTAGCCTTTTGCCAAGGTTTTGCAATCATCCAGAAATCGCTGGCCCAGCACTCTGATGTGATTTCTGCGGCCACTTCACCCAGCTTTCTCTGTCTCCTCTCCTCTGCAACCCCTTTCTCCAAAATCTGCCTCTCTCCCCAACAAATGTCGTTTCCTTTAGGAAGCCCTCCCTGGGAGCCTCCCTTATCATTGTGCTTATTTTCCAACAAATCTGTACTGAGCCCCTGCTTTGGGCCAGACATCATTCTGGGGAGGCCGCAGTGAGCAGGACAGACAAGCTCTGTCTTCCTGGCGCGTGCGTTCTGATGGGGAGACACACCATAATCAGCACCTAGTTTAATCAAATACTGACCGAGAAGGGTGGAAAGGATCCTTCTGGAGGATGGGTGAGGACATTGTGTGGTGAAGGAAGGCTCTAGGTGGAGGGGACTTTTGAACAGAGACTTCAGTGAGCTGGAGAAAGAGTGCTCCAGGCGGGAGGGGCAGCAGGTGCAAAGGCCCTAAAATTGGGAGCAAGGTCAGCCTATTCAAGGAATAGCCAGATAACCAGGTGGCTGGAGGAAGGTGAGAATGAGTTCAGAGAGAGGCAGAGGCACCTCAGGCAGGGCCGCTAGGGAAGTAGCCCACATTTTATTCTAACTGTGGGATTTCACTCTAATTGCTTGTTTAATTGTCTTCTCTGTGAGACTGTAAGCTCCCTGCAGGCAGGGACCGTGTCTCACTCATTATTGCACATGGATCCGGGCCTGCTATGTGAGCAGGTGTTCGGGGAATGGATGAAAGCACATGGCGGTAGGCAGCCTCCCTAGACGTGCAGCAGGGCGTCCCTCTACCTCTTGACTTCCCTGGGGGCTCAGTGCTTGTTGGAGTATGCAAGAAACCCACCAGCTAGCTCTCAAGAGTCCCTCAACAAATATTCCTCCTGTCCTCCCCCCACCCCAGGATTAAAAAAATCCCCAATAGTTAACCAGGCAATGAAAGCCTTTCCCCACCAACCCAACCCAAGACGGAGACCAAAGGATGATTAATCCAAATTCCTGCAGAGCCCAGGAAGATCAAGGGAGAGTAAATATTTCAGTGTATTTGGACTGAGTCATTGGGGTGGGGGAGAGACTTCCTCAGGCTAGAATACTGTAATTTATCTCCCCCTGGAGTATCTTTGTCAAAGCTAAAATTCTTGGGCGCCTGGGTGGCTCAGTTGGTTAAGCGACTGCCTTCGGCTCAGGTCATGATCCCGGAGTCCCGGGATCGAGTCCCGCATCAGCCTGCTTCTGCCTCTGATCCTCCCCCCTCTCATGTTCTCTCTATCTTGTTCTCTCTCTCAAATAAATAAATAAAATCTTTAAAAAAAAAAAAAAAAGCTAAAATTCTTAAGTGACTAGATCTACTAACTTGCTAACTGTGCCCATTTTGACTTTAGTGTCTCAGTCTAATGGTGTTTATTTAACTGAAGACTTGCTGGGCCCTCCTAAAGGCACCTAAGGACATAAAATGTCGGGAAATTTTTTAAGAAACTGATATCTAGAGTAAAAAAATGAAACTTAGATCATCAGTAGAAGTCCAGTTCACTCTCAGGTTAGTGACAGGCACTCGGTGGGATAGCTGGGAGCCCTGACAGCTTCCCACCCCCACCTCTCTCCCAAGTTATGCTCAGGTACTTAGGATGTTATATAATCTGTCTGATGGTGTCAGGTACGGACTCTCCCCTCCATAAGCTTACAAGCACTGAAAACATTTCTAGTAGTTATATTAACTAAAGAGAAATGTATTGAAGGATAAACATCGGCTTTAATTTTTTTTCTCCTAAGACCCTTAGCCCACCCACCACATCTGTCCCAAAAGTCGTTTAAATTCTAAGAAGGCAAGTAGATATGTGTTATCTTATAACCAATATTCTAGTTTTATATAGTTTGAATACAACAGAAACGGGGTTGTGCACCATGTGGGTTCTTCGTGTAGCAGGAAGACTTCTGAGTATATGTTTGTACATACGTGTCCATATCATAGAACTGGGGCCTCGTTTTACTAATTGGACAATTAGAGAGGCAGAACTGTCTAGTTCTCCAGCCCACTGTTGGCCTTATCTGTCATTTACTTGCTTGGAGTCCTTGGTCAAGAATGCCATCAGAATTACAGCCTTGGGTCCCTAACAGCAGAAT